GGTGTTCCCCAGTCATGAATTGCTCTGCCACTCACCCAGGTACCTGCACCGAACATATGGAGTGTTTTTTTGGCTTCTCTAACACTAATAATCTTTCATCAATTAAATCAGCAAGTCCTATTGATTCTACCTTCTAAATATCTTTCAACTCAGTCCATTTCCCACCACCCCTACGACCACTAACCACCATCCCAGCCCAGACATGGTTTATCTCTCATCTGGATATTTTGCTTCCAATCTATTCTTTGCATGTAAGCCAGTGGTCATCTTGAAATGAAGAGTCAGTCGCAGTACTCCAACCCACCTTCTTAAAACCCTCTAGCGATGCCCTTCTGCTACAATCGATGTACAATTCTAAATCTAATCACTAAGCACCCCTTCATCAGTGTCCAGCTCTTTCCTGTCTCAGCTCTGATTCTCCCCTTGAGAGCCATCTTCAGCTTCCTTCATTTCCTCAAATTCATCAGCTTTCTTCTGCTTCTGGGTTTTAGATACAATTCCAGCTTCCTGGGTATTTTTCCTTTGGGTGTCAACTTAAACACTTTGCTTTTATGGGGAAATTTTTTCTGACCCCCTGGCTAGGTCCACACTATCCTGTGTTTCTCCTATTATTATACTCGCTTGTGGTCATCACTTGAACAAAATCTATTTTTTGTCTTCTCTTTTAAAACTTTACTTCCCTCTGTAACATCAGAGTAATATGTCCCTTTGTCTAATTATTTTCCTAGCTTTCTTCTCCTGCAATTAATTTATAACTCCACTTTGGGTCCATCTTTCTTCATTTTTTAAAATTGGAGAACTAATACAAAGATTAATGTACATTAGGAAAATGTGCAATTTTATCAACTCTTCTGACTTCCTATTTGATGGATTATACAAGTTTTAAGTTAATTTGTGAGACATATTCCATAAGGAGTGTACTGAAGACATGGACAAAGCATGTTTTAAGATGCATTATTTTTTTTAAAAATCACCAAGACTTAATGAAATAAGTCTTTCTTTCCAGCTTTAATTTGGAAGATTAACATCACATTTATCAACATAAATATTTTTTATTCTCGAGTTATAAGTTTATCAGGTGAGTGTGAAGAGTTGGACAGAAGGTGGGGTGAGTTAATGACATTTTTGTGCCCCATGTCCGTTCTTCTCAGGTGGCATTGAGTATTTTGGCAATGAGTACCCCACGGTCTTGGAGGCTGGTCTACTCAGAGTTGGACTTTGGTGGGTGGGGCCTTAATTCAGAGATGCAAACTATCGCAAAGGTGAGAGCAGACAAGCCATGCCTACCCCAGAGTGGATTTTCAAGTCCCGTCTAACAGGGCCCACATCACTGGTATGCAACCACCAGAATATGTGCCAGTCTCCTTGTTCCTTGCCATTTTAAGGCTTTTCCTATCAATGAATTTTATGATGTCTCTGGCTACTAGGCTCTGTATCATCTAGGACAATAGTTCTCATGTGACACACCTTCTATCAGCATTTAAAAATTACCAACGATCTGACTGATTCAATTTGGGATGGGGTGGAGCCCAGGCACTGGTGTTTTGAAACTTTCTCAGGTAATTCTCCCATGCAGCCAGGGTGGAGAACCATTGATGTAGGTCACAGAATGCACCTTACCTTGTTTAATAAACTGATGTATCAACCTTCTTGGCCTTCTTTATATGTAGACTCTCATTTTTATCTTGAACTCCCCCATTCTAGTATATGGCACTTCTGTCCATATAGTTTCTCAAATTGAAAACTGAGATTCATTCTTCTTCTTTAGTTCCCCATCCTCAGTCATTCCATCAGAAAGTACTCGACTTTCCGTGTATCTGCCTACTCCTTACCTTCACTGCCTTTGTCTTAACCCAATCAATCCTCTTGGCTTACCTCGACCACTGAAATTTCTTAACTGGTTTCTCCTATTTCAATCCATATCACCTTCCACTAGATTCTTAATTTTTAAAAAATGGTCTTAAACATTTTATTATAAAATATTTCAAACATTTAGATAAGAATAGGCCATTAAGGTTTGTAAAACATTAGCATACTAGATGTACTTTACAGTTTTGTTTTTTTTTTGACGAAGGAAAAGTGCGTTCGAGTTGAAGTCTCCTTTATACCCTCTCCCCAGTGCCATTTCCTCTCTTCTTCCCCAGAGGCAACTGCTTTATAAATTTAGAGTTTATTATTACCATGTGTGCCTTATACTTTTGCTATCTCTTTGAATTCATACATATTATTTAGTATTGTTTTTAAGTATTAGTAGTTTCATTTAGATGATATCAGATTGCGTTTTGTTTGTTTCACTTAACATGTTTTTTATGTTTGCTCTGATTAAACAAATAGCTTTAGTTTATTCATTAAAATTGTTGTATACTATGCTATCAAAACAAAAGACCATAACTTGTTTATCTATTGACCAACATTCAAATGGTTTCCAATTTTTTCTTTTCATAATTGCTGCATGTCCTTCTTCTGTACACGTGTAAAAGTGTACAAGGAATGAAATGTGCAGCCTTAGGGCCTTTTAAACTTTTCTGTATTTTGAATAATTGCAGTATAATCTTAAAAAAAAACCCTGTTACTCAAAAAAATATTATGGAGCATCTACAATATGCCTGCATGAAACAGTAAACAAGGGAGACAAAATCTTTGCTGACTTAGATATGGTATCCTAGTGGGGAAGAGCAAGTAAACGAATAAGATGATTTCAGAGAATGCTGTATAAGGAAGCACACCATTCTTCTGCTTCAAAATCTTCAATGATTTTCCACTGCATTTAGGATTAACGTATCTCCTCTCCAGGCCTGTAACACTCACTACGGTCTGGCTCTGACTCCCTTTTCCAATTTCCCTTGACTCTCTACCTTGCCACATTGACCTGTTAGTTTTCAGAACTTACTAAACTTTTTCCTGATTCTGGACCTTCACGTGCATTGTTCCAGCTCCCTGGGAAGTTCTTCACAACAGTCTTTGTTTAATTCTTACTCATAACTCAAGTCACAACTTACTTGTCCTGTTTGCACAGAGACCTTCCTTGATCCGCATAGAAAATAGGCCCCTTGTATTAAATCCTCTCGGCACCTTGTTCTTCCCCTCAGAGTCGCTCCCCAGAATAGGCGATTCTACATTCTCTAGTCACCTGCCCCACCTGCTAGATCTCAAGCCCATGAACGCAGGGATGGTGCCTCGCTTGCTCCTGCTGTGCTTTCTAGCCCACAGCTTGACACATAACCATTCCTACGTGAATTTCTAAAAAAATTCATACAGATTAGTGTTTTTCTGAAAGTTTGGTTGCAGCCTCATCTTGAGGCGGAGCTTTGGTTCTGCTGGAGTTCTGCTCTCCCTCTCTCCTTCAGGGCTCCCCCCTCCCTAGCGAAGGGTTTAGGGTGGCCTTCCTGGGTCCGCAGACCAGAATCAGGCTTTGCTACAGAGTCTAAGGGCTCCTGTCCTGGTGGTGCCTGGGCCCCCACAAGCCTGTCACCTTGCCTGCAGCCAGACTCCTTAGGCCCTTAGTCGAAGAAATTCGTAGCTCTAGATGCTGTGGACAGCAGTGCTTTGTGCTTGTTTTTTAAGTGACTTTTAACAAGGGAGACCTGAGGGCACCTGGAGGAACCTCTTTTCAGCCCCTGGCCTGAAGCCGTGAGCCTGGATCCAGTTTCTCATCTCCCTTGGAGTATTTTCAGTCTCTGCTACCCTTTCCGGAGTCTTTCCTCTCTCTTTCCTTCCTTCTTTACATTTCTTTTCTTTTCTCCTCATTTCTTTCTTTCATTTGAAAGTTGAAGTATTCAATTACAGTAGCACTATCACAGCTAACCCACTTTATGCTGATACAGTGATATTATCTAGCATGAAGTCTGTGTGCCCTGTTCTCTAATTGTCCCCTGCCTCCACCGTCCAAGGTGCATAACAGTTTCCAATGAAGGATTACATGTTTCATTTAGATTTCAGGTCTCTTAAGTCTTCTTTAAATGAGCACAGCTCCCATGGTTTTATTTTATTTTAAATTGTTTTTGGTCTTTCATAATATTAACATTTTTGAAGAGGCTAGGTTGGGTTTCTGATAGAATAACTAATAATCTGCATTTCTCTTAACTGTCTTTCCCTGAATGCTCAGACTCACATTGCACAGTCTGCAAGAGCTCCTTGTTCTTGATGGTAATGGGTCCTTATTACATCACACCTGCAGGCATGTGATGGTATTTTGTCTATTCATGGTGATGCAGAATTGGATTACTTGTTTCAGGTGGTTTCCTCCAGATCTCTAACTGGTAAAGGTATCTTTTTCTCTTTGAATTTAATAAGGAATCTTTGGAGTAGCACTTTGAGACTATGTAAATATTCTGTTTAACAATAACTTTTCACCCAATGGTATTAGTATTTGTTGATGATCCTTGCTTGTATCCATTATTATATTGGTAGTTGCAAAATAGATGCCATATAATTTTATCATTCCTTTTACATTTTTTAGCTGACACTCTGTAAAGAAGCCTTTTATCACCTCTTTCCCTACCATATATATATATATATTTTTTTTAGTATTTTAAAAGATTCTCTATGGGCTTAGATTCTTTTCTCACAGGATCATTTTGACCAGAAGTAAAGTAGTTCTTATCAGCATATTTTTTTCACAGTGCTTAATACATATTTATTATATATTTTTCCTATGTAATACTTCATAGGTAGTTTCTGTATGAAATAACATATTTTAATAAATAGCATAATGTGGAGTTCCATTAAAAACGTTTGCCCTTTCTCCAACTTTGATTTATTATTATAGTCAGATTTAAAGTTTCTCTCTTCATTTACTGTAATTAACAACTTATGGGGGTGATTTGTTTATTTATGTTCCTTTGGCAAATTCAACATGAAATTAAATCTGTTATTGTCATTAAAAATCCAAGAGGTGAAGTTCCTAGGGATAAGGTGTCATACACAGAACTACACTTCCTTGTCCTTCTCCCTGACTACAGGGTGCATGTAGTTTATGACCCTCTCTGTCTTATTTTTAGGATCGAAGATTCAATGACGAAATCGACAAACTAACTGGATATAAGACAAAATCTCTATTATGCATGCCTATCCGAAGCAGTGATGGTGAGATTATCGGTGTGGCCCAAGCGATAAATAAGATTCCTGAAGGTGCTCCATTTACTGAAGATGATGAAAAAGTAAGATTTCATGCCTTTTGTGACTTGTGCTCTTTTTCTTGATCACTGATGGCTATTCTCCCTGAAAAGGAGAGGAATTGTGTGAATACTGTTGGATTGGCCCGTTCACAAATCAAGGAGCTTTTTCTCATGTTATATAAAATGTAATGGTTTTTTTTTGATATTTCATAGAAACTGGTATAATTGAAAATAATTACTTCATCTTTTTCTTAGCTTGCTTTTTGTTGCAGCCTCAGTAATAGTCCTATTATTCCCTGGTCTTTATCTTCCTTATAAGTAAGCTTCTTAATTGAGCATTACAGTACTACCATACATGGCCTGGAGGGAAACAGGGGCTATAGGAAGGTGGGCTATGCTTCAGATACTCAGCATTTTCTCAATTACTACAAAGAGTCATTTTCTAAGTTCTTATATAAAAATCTGACTAAAATAAATGTTATTTAATTGTTATTCCAGATTGCTAATAAAAGTAATATTATTTTGGTCCCTGAAGAGCAGTTGACCTGGGTGGAAGTGATGTACATTTTGTTCTGAAATTTTAAGTTCTTTCAGCAGTTATTCATCAGCTCATATCAAAAGAGAGACTCTTTAAAGAGCTGAAATTCTGGCTTTGAAATTCTTACTTTCATATTTAATGTAATCTGGTAGAATATTTTAAAAATTTGAGGTGAAAAACAAATCTCAAATTAGTTTGTTTAAGTTTGATGACTGCCATATTCCTATCTGATTAAAAAAAGGCACTTTATAATTTAACCTTCTGGATGTTAGGTTGTTATTTGCCAGTGCCAATTACTAATGTATTAAATTAATACAAATGTTCTGATACAAAAGGTCAACATAAAATATAAATATAAGGAAACAAGATTTTTAAGTGAAGACCTTTACTGAGGTCATATCTATAGTCATATTTGAACAGCTCAAATCCTGGAGAAGATTTTATAAATTCTTAGAGCATGGTAGGACCTCAGACAATTTCTGACTAATTCAGTAAACAATTACAGTGTGCAAGACACTTGTGTTGGGCCATAGGAAACACAAAGATAAGTCTCAAATGTGTTTTGCCATCCTGGTATTGCACACGGCAGAGGGCAAGATCAGCAATCAGATGTTCTAGGATATGCCACAAGCGGCCAAGGGGGGCTTAGTTCCACTTGAGTAATCTGAAGAGGCTTCTTGTAAAAGACAGCATTTGATCTGACCTCTGAGAAAAAGCACAGGCCTCCATCAGGTGGAGAAAGACAAGTACCAAATGATTTCCCTCATTTGTGGAGTATAACAGCAAAGCAAAACTGAAGGACCAAAGCAGCAGCAGACTCACAGACTCCAAGAAGAGACTAGCAGTTACCAAAGGGGAGGGGTGGGGGAGGATGGGGGGGAAGGAGGGAGAAGGGGATTGAGGGGTATTATAATTGGCACACATGGTGTGGGGGATCATGGGGAAGACAGTGTAGCACAGAGAAGACAAGTAGTGACTCTGTGGCATCTTACTACACTGATGGACAGTGACTGCAAGGAGGTATGGAGGGGGGGACTCGATAATATGGGTGAATGTAGTAACCACATTGTTTTTTCATGTGAAACTGTCATAACAGTATATATCAATAATACCTTAATAAAAAATTTTTTCTTAAATAAATAAAAAACTAGTTTGTCTTTAAAAAAAAAAGCATAGGCCTCCATAAGACAGAACCAGGTAAGACAGTGACATTAAAAAACATAAAATGTAGGCTGCCTCATTCACTATGCAAATGTTTCCATGGAAAGTACAGGTAAATAAAGTATATTTCGTGCATTTTGTACCAAAGATGACAGAGTCCTGTAATAATAGGCCTTTTTTAAGGATTTAGATGAAAGGATCTGAGTTTTGTGTTTTTCCAGACGTAACAGCTACATGCCCACAGAACTCTCAGTTTATGCACAGTTAGTATAGTCCTGCCCCAACTCTGCCCTCTTCATTTAAAGGGATCCTATTATATATTTAATTCTCATCTCTGATTCCATTTATGTTACTTTTTTTACCCTAGACTTTTCTCGGTGGATTGATACTTATGAATAAGGGTTTTCATGGGCTCTGAATGATTCAGATGGAAGGTCTGCACAGGACTTTGTTCTTGTCTTGAACTGCATCAGTGTTTACCTCTACTGAGAATGAAAACTGCGACCGAGTTCCAGTTCAGCTAAGGACGTGTGGCCTGCTTTCTGTGAGCCACTTATCCCTGACTCTGTTTCCTCACCTGTCAACTATACTATTCACTATTTACAGCATAACAATTAAATAAGATCATAAATAACAAACACTTTGCAAAAATATAAGAAACTAGGCAAGTATAAAACATAAATTTTTATTTTTAAATTATCATTTTCCCAAAGAATTTTAAAATGTTCTTCTATATTTGTCATTTATCCCTAGGCGACTTATTTCTTGGATTCAGCCTCATTTAAATATTTCCTTGCTTTAAGTACTATATTTTTCTCCTCTACAATTATCCCATTTACCCACAGTAGAATTTTATTTTTCAGCTTTTACCATTCCCTCAACTGATTTAAAAACCCTACTTTAGTCTTGCTTCTTGGAAGAAGCCTTACCAGTTAGAGCAGGTAGATTGTGGTCATGCAAGTGGTACTGGCTGGAGAGTATTTTATTTCAACTTCTGTATCTGGTTATTGTTCTTTCCTGCAAGGATTCTATACATTATAAACCAAATAGGAATGAGTGATGAGGAAGAAAAGCAGAAAACAAAATTCAGAAATGATTAATGGTAAAGAACAAGATCTAGATACTTTTTCCAAATAAGAGAAGACACTGGCATAATGGCTACATACAGGCCATGTAGTGAACCTACTTGGGTTGTGATTCCACCTCTGCCATAGCCTGTGTAACCTTGGGCAAGTTCCATAGCTTTTCTGTGCCCCAACTTCCTCCTCTTAGAGGAGAGATGAAAATAATAATACTTGCCTTATAAGGGCATCAAGGGATTAAATGAGAGAATACAGCGAAAGAACTTGGAAGAGTGCCTAGTACATCGTAATCCCTCATAAAAAATTAACTTTTACTGACAGCACGTTAGTACATGTGAGATGCAGTCTAGTGTCAGTTAAAAAATTGCCTCTATATAATTTAAGTCTATAAGTTTTTATTAAGCACAATCTATATGCCAGTTCCATTGCTGGAGTTTCAACAATGGAATGAGGGATTTACTGTTTTATAAATTCACAATTATCTGTGTGACTATTAATGCAAATACTGTCTTATTTGGTTGTACAAGATTATGCATATACAAATTTGTGTTCTTATTAATATAAAGTTATTTCCCACATACATGTCTACATGTGAATATAGTCTACATTTGGCATTTTTTATAAAGTTTTTTCCCCCTATATAGCCTAGGTTGCTTAGTCACTGTCTTATTACTTGAAATTTGTGTTCTTTTCAATTTTTCACTAATACAAATAGTATTAGTTCACTGAATGAACATCTTGAAACAATTACTTTTTTTTTGTATTATTTCCTTGGGGTATATTCCAAAGACTGAAATTTCTGAGTCAGACGGCAATAAAAGTTTTATAGCTCTCATTCCAGGTTATCAGACAGCTTTTGGCAGTATTGAACCCATTTACAGTGGTAGCAGCATGCTTATACCTCTTTTCTCAGAGCCCTGCCATCTTTGTTCCATTCTCAGATTAGTTTTCCTGACTCTGCCAGGCAGGCTTCAGACAGCTTCCTTCCACATTAATGGGTACAAACTCCAACAAGAGAAGTTTCATTGTTACCCACAAGCAAAGAAGAGGGAAAGGAAATAGAAGCCCAGTGCTTAGTGTTAGGTGAGGGGTTCTATATCAGATAGAACTTTAAGGCAGGTTCAAGTCTTTGTTTGCTACTTCTTACCTGAGTGACCTTGAGCAAGTTGCTCAATCCCTTTTAGCCTCAGAATGTCCATAATAGGGTTGTTATATAGCTGCTATTTATCATTCACATGGGTAGTGGTAAATTTAATGCCCATTTAGCATAATATGATTTGTATGTCCAATATCTTAAAATGTCAAATTCTACAGACATATCAAACAGTGTTATGTTTGGTGTAATTCCAAAATATTTTGCAGTGTAAGAATCAGCAAGTTGTTTTCTGAGATAAACTGAAAATTAATTATGATATATTCATTTCTGGGCTATTTATGTATCTAACATAACTGTATATAGGATAATAGTATGTTCCTTGAAATTCCATATGTCAGTGGTTGTGCTTATGTCATGTAATGGTTGATGGAAGAGCTTAGAAAGGTCATCAAGTCCATTTTCCACCAGCCCTACCCTCATTCAATATAGGAAGCTTTACCTGACACATGGTCACCCAACCTTTGCCTAAAAACTTCCCTTTAATGACTTTAAAATTATCATGGTCTTTAAAGTTCTTATATAATAAGCAATAATTTTATCAGCAGAGGGTGAACATTTTTGTGAAATATAGTCTACCATATGCAAATAACAATAATTTACATCACATACCAAGAAATTACTAGCATGGTAATTCACACTGGAGATGCAGACAAAGGCGATAATACAGAAGAGATGACTGGAATTTCCTGGTTCACTTCATGGGTTTCCAGCAAATGCACCTGTTTTTCAGTGATATGTATAAATTAGCTGATTTAGGTGGTACGACCAGACTCTTGGTATCCAATTAATCATTTCGTTACTCCTGGGTGAATAAAAGGAGCTATTATTTTGTAGCATAAAATAATGAGACCTGGATGGGAGCAAACATTTGTGATCTGTCAAGAAATATGTGCACTCCAGATGAAACCTGGGACGTGGAAATGAGTGCAGGCTCTTATCTGCCCTTCCCAGATTGCCTATACCTGAACCCCAGAAGAGCCATTTCTTATTGTGGTGTTGCATAAAAAATATGTCTATTTCAGTTACTTTATAACAACATATAAGCTATTGTGGCTTAAATTTCTTCTTTGGCTAATCTCTGTGGGGTTCTTTGGCCTGTGGTCTC